ACATAACATTAGTCAGGGTAAAATATATAGAGAGATTGAATGTGGATAAAAGCCAGAGAAATTCTGAAATAATAGATTTTATGCATATATGGTGGATATGCCTGGACATTAGAAAGTACTGGGATGCAATCCATAATGGTATTTTACAAATTGTTGGATATTTATTACCAAATGATCCCTTGGTAATCCTTCTGGGGCTTCCTAGTGGAAATGGTCACTCAAGAGGAAATGAAGAATTAATCTCTCATATGCTAGTAGCTGCCTGACTATTGGTAGCCTCTCTCTGGAAAAAAAATAGTCTAACCATAGAGGAATAGTTCAATATTATGGGAGGTTTTGCTTATGGAAAAATTAACATACCAATTAGGTACCCACCAAAATGGAGGACAGATAGATATTTAGATATTTATATCTAGACCTTTTATTCATTACTCACACAAAGTATACTCACCCGCAAAAAAGCCTCAGCACACCTGTCCAATTTTTTTAATATTAATATTTGATAGATGTGCCTAATCCGTTAAATATGTTTATATTGAAATGTCACTTAATAAAATCACTAGAAATAACATATTATAGGTGTTGTAATGATGCTCACTCTGTAATATGGTAACACCCTGTTAAATAGAAAGATCTGATGATGTATTCCTGTATAGACAGTATTTGGTCCTGCCATGCGGGCAGGGGACTGGACTCGATGACCTCTCGAGGTCCCTTCCAGTCCTAGAATCTATGAATCTATGAATCTATGAATAATGTCTCTTTAAACAAAAGCTAACTGTTGTAATGTTTGTTTTGATTCTGATATTTATATGGCAAGGATTTGTAAACTTGTTAAAACTTCCCAAATAAATGAATAGTTTTAAAAAGAAAAGAAAGGAAAACATGCAGTATAGTGATAGAACCCAGGAGTTCAATTTATATACCTTAAGAAAGAGAAGGTTAAGGGATGACTTGATTTCAGTCTGTAAGTACCTATATAGGAAACAGATATTTAATAATGGGCTCTTCAGTCTAGCAGAGAAAGGTATAACACAATCCAATGGCTGGAAGATGAAGCTAGACAAATTCAAACAGGAAATAACTGCACATATGTTTATCAGTGAGAGTAATTAACCATTGGAATAACTTACCACAGATCCTGGTGGATTCTCCATCACTGGCAATTTTTAAATCAAGATTGGATGCTTTTTCTAAAAGCTATGCTCTGGGAATTATTTTGGGGAAATTCTATGGCCTGTGTTATACAGAAGGTCAGACTAGATCAGTGGCTCTCAACCTTTCCAGACTATTGAACCCCTTTCAGAAGTCTGATTTGTCTTACATACCCCCAAGTTTCAGCTCACTTAAAAACTACTTGCTTACGAAATCAGACATAAAAATGCAAAAAGTGTCTCAGCACACAATTACTGAAAAATTGTTTACTTTCTAATTTTTACCATATAATTATAAAATAAATCAATTGAAATATAAATATTGTACTTACATTTCAGTGTACAGTACAGGGGTGGCCAAACTTATTGACCCTCTGAGCCGCATACAATAATTTTCATAACCTCGAGTGTTGGGTATGCCTGCTGGGGCTCAGGGCTTCAGCCTTGTAGGGCTCACCTGTGGGGACTTGGGGCTTCTGCCCTGCAGCAGGGTGGTGTGGCTTGAGGCTTCTGCTCCATAGGAGGCACCTGCCAAGGCTCAGGGCCCCAGCAGGTGCATCCGCCAGGCTGAGGCCCTGAGCCCTGCCAGAGGCCAGAAGCCCCGAGCTCCCCACTCTGCCAGTCTATTAGGTAGAGAAACAGGGGCATGGTGGGCTTTGGAAGCTGCATTTTAACTGTAAAAGGACCACATGTTGCTCATGAGCTGCAGTTTGGCCACTCCGGTATAGTATATAGAGCAGTATAAACAATCATTGTCTGTATGAAATTTTAGTTTGTACTGACTTCGCTAGTGCTTTTTATGTAGCCTGTTGTAAAACTAGGCAATTATCTAGATGGTTGATGGTACCCTCTGGAAGACCTCTGCATACCCCCAGGGGTATGTGTACTTCTGGTTAAGAACCACTGGACTAGATGATCACAGTGGTCTCTTCTGGCTTTGGAATCTACGACTTCTCTGCCCTGAGATCATGGAATCATCAAATATTAGGGTTGGAAGAGACCTCAGGAGTCCAATCCCCTGCTCAAAGTGGGACCAACATCAACTAAATCATCCCAGCCAAGGCTTTGTCAAACTGGGCCATGAAAACCTCTAAGGATGGCGATTCCACCACCTGCCAGTGCTTCACCACCCTCCTAGTGAAATAGTGTTTCCTAACATCCAACCTAGACATCCCCCACTGCAGCTTGAGACCTTTGCTTCTTGTTCTGTCATCTGCCACCACTGAGGATAGTCTAGCTCCATCCTCTTTGGAACCCCCCTTCAGGTAGTTGAAAGCTGCTATCAAATCCCCCCTCACTCTTCTCTTCTGCAGACTAAATAACCCCAGTTCCCGCAGCCTCTCCTCAGAAGTCATGTGCCCCAGCCCCCTAATAATTTCTGTTGCCCTCCGCTGGACTCCCTCCAATTTGTCCACATCCCTTTTGTAGTCGGGGGACCAAAACTGGATGCAATAATCCAGGTGTGGCCTCACCAGTGTCGAATAGAGGGGAATAATCACTTCCCTCGATCTGCTGGAAGTGCTCCTATTTATACAGCCCAATGTGACTAAAGGACCTGGATTTTAAATCAAGTGGAGAATGGGAACAACATAATATACGATAATATTTACAAACGTTTCAAATAATGGGCCGTGTTCATTATCGTGTTATATCGTATGCAGTGTATAACATGTTTTTAAAGTGTACTGAACGCTATTGCTGTACAGTGCCAAAATGTAAAGTCGGTGTTTTGCGGTACCTTCCTAGACATTGTGCAAGAAGCCATTAGCTACTTAGCTAGAAGTGAGTTTTGAAATGTTGTTTCACCCCCCCTCCCCCCTCAGCACCCAGCAGGACTCATTCCTTCGTTGGGAGTTCCGGTCCTCTCCTTAGAGCAGGACATTATAACACCCAGTGGGGAGAAAGGCTCTGTACATCACACGCACACTGTTAAAGCTAATGCCCCAGTGGCATTACATCTTAGCTCGGTGCTAAGTCGGGAATCCTTTATAAATTTCCCTTGCTGCTCTTTAGGCAGCTCAAACGTTTATATTCACAACTTCCCCTTAGTCGCCCAGCAGCCCCTGACTTGGCGACCCTTCCTTCCCCGCGCCTTACCCCGAGAGTACCCCGAGTCTGGGGCAGGTGCAGGAGCTCCGAGACACGCCCGCTCTCCTAGTCTGGGGTCCAGGGTGCACCTGGGCGAGCGACATCGAGTTAACACTACGATTTTGCCCTGTCTACAGTAGGATTTTACAACGTGTTAGTTAACACGTGATCGCTGTCCCGTTGTCTCAGTTTTTCCTAGCGTAGCCATGGCCCCAGCATTCTCCAGCCCAGGCAATGTGCCTAGAGGAGTGGGGACACCCGGACTCTGCACATCTTCCCATTTGTATTCATCACAACTGCGCTGTTCCCCAGAGTGCGATTAACTGCCCGATTTCTCCTTACATTTCACTCCCGTGTCTTCTGTGAGCCCGCAAGAGACGGGCGCCGCACGCTGCTCCGCGACAGCCAGGAAGAAAAGTACAAGTGTCGCTCTACCCCTGACCTTACTGCTGCCTAGTTCTGCCTCTCCCCTGCTTAGTCCTTGAGGAAGGGCAATAATCACATTGAAACTCACTCGGGAGAACTGGAATGCAAACGCAGGAGAGCACTTGCTCCGCACACACATGGCCAGACACGCTGAGCGAACTTGTTGCCTGCTGTACCCTGCATAACTTTTCTCAGCTCTCCCCAATCATCGGCCGCAAATGGATCCGATTAAAACCAAATGAATCCCCTTTGCTGTTCTCCT